AGCCAAAGGTGTTAAATTTTGTCAAGTCATTTTATAGCATTAGTTGAAATGATTATGTTTTTCCCCCCTTTATTCTGCTTTGTTTTTTTTTTTTAGACAGAGTCTCACTCTTTCACCCTGGCATCATATAGTGCATGGCATCATAGCTCACAGCAATCTCAAACTCTGGAACTCAAACATTCCTCTTGCCTCAGCCTCCCAAATAGGACTACAGGTGCCAGCCACCACACCCAGCCCCCTTTTATTCTGTTATGGTATACTACTTTGATTAATTTTCATATGTTAAGCCATCCTTTCATTACAAGAATAAATTCAACTTGGTCATTGTGATGGCTAAATTTAGTCAACTTGACTGGATCAAGGAATACCTATCTAGAAAATTGGTAAAAGCTGAAAGCTGAGCATGGTGATATGTATCTACAGTTCTGGCTACTCAGGAGGCTGAGGCAGGAGGATTGCTTGAACCTGGGAATTTGAGGGTATAGTGTGCCATGTATCCATCTGTGAATAGCCACTGCATTCTAGCCTGGGTAATAAAGGGAGACTCTGTCTCCAAAATAAATATATAAATAAAAAAGAACAGGTGAAGCATCACTTCTGGGTGTGTCCTTGTTTTTCCAGAGGAGACTGTCATGTAAGTCAGTGGACTGAGTGGGGAAGATCCACCCTCAACATGGCCAAGTACCATCCAACTGTTTGGCCCACATCTAAAGGATTCTCATTCTCATTCTCTCTCTCTCTCTCAGAGCTGGGACACTATCTTCCTTTCTGCCCTTGGACATCAGAACTACAAGATCTCTGGTCTTTGGATTTCAAGACTTATAGCAGTGACACCTCCCTTCCTCCCCTCCCTCCTCGATATTCAGGTCTTTGGCCTCAGACTGAAAATTATGCCATCAGCTTCCCTGGTTTTGAGGCTTTCAGACTTGGAGCCACACTACCACTTACTGGCATCCCAAGGTCTCCAGTTTGCACATGGCCTTTCACGGAACTTCTAACTTTCCACAATATTATGAGTCAATACTCCTAATAAATTCTCTCCTTCTCTCTCTATATATGTATATATGTATATGTATATTTGTATTCTATTGATTCTTTCTCTCCGAAGAATACTGACTCATACAACCATAATGTATAATCCTTTTAATATGCTGCTGAATTTAGACTACTGGTATTTTGTTGAGATTTTTGCATCAATGTTCATAAGAGATATTCGTCTATAGTTTTCTTTTCTCATAGTGATTTTTTTAGTCTTATTTTAGTATCAGGTAATGGTGGCCTCCAAGCATGAGTTGGGAAGCATTCTGTTCTCTTCGACTTTTTAAAAGAGCTGGAGCAGGATTGGTGTTAATTCTTCTGTAAATATTTGGTGTAAAAAAATACTTGGTGGAATTCACAAGTAAAGCTATGTAGTCCAGGCTTGGCGCCTGTAGCTCAGCGGTTAAAGGTGCCAGCCACATACACCAGAGCTGGTGGGGTCGAATCCAGTCTGCCAAACAACAATGACAATTGCAAACAAAAAATAGCCAGGCATTGTGATAGGCACCTGTAGTCCCAACTACTTGGGAGGCTGAGACCAGATAATCGCTAAAGCCCAAGACTTGGAGGTTGCTGTGAGCTGTGACACTTCAGCACTCCACCGGGCAATAGTGAAACTGTCTCAAAAAAAA